AGCTGACCGCCTGGCAGCGGGGGAAGGGGACGGGCTTGCCCCTTCTAGAGAGGGGAACGGGGGGGGGTGACGTCCCCGCCCCTGGCCAGCACAGGCAGTGCAGGCCCTTCCCAAGGGGCTGTGGCAAATCACTGCCCACACAATGGGCTTCAGCACGCACTAACCGGCTTGTCTCTGGAGGGCAGAAGCCGGCATCTCAGCGGCCCGAGTCACAGGGCGGGCGGGGCTGGTTCCTTCTAGAGGCTGGGGGTGGGGGGCTCAGTTTCCTCCCTTCTTCAAGAGGCCACATCACCCACCTCTGCCTCCGATGTCAGGCCTTCTGACTCTGAGCCTGTGTGCACCTCCTCTAGGACGCTTATAATCACACTGCCCCCAGTCCTGCACGATCCCCTCCTCTTAAAACCCTTCACGTCTGCAAAGTCCCTTCTGTCACGGAAGGTCACGTACCCACAGGGCCCAGCGATCAGGAGGACGACATCTCTGGGGCATTAGTCAGACTCCAACAGGGACAAACGATGACAGAGCAGTCCGTCGAGGCCGCCCCACGTCTGGTTGCGGCCCTCCCTCCCCACCCCTCCCCACCCCACCCCTGCCATGGTAAATCGGGCCACCTGGCAGCATCCACCAGACTTTAAACGCATGCATCCCTCAGCCAGCAAGGCCTGCTCCGGGAGGCTACAGGGCAGAACTCTGCAAGCCGGCAGCGAAGTGGGTCAGGCAAACAGCCTCCGCGGCCTCGTTCGTAAGACCGAGAGATCGGATGCATCCAAAACTCATTCACAGAGTCAGGGTTGGACCCATAAGGTGCATCCATGTCATGGAATATCGTGCAGCCGGCAGAGAAACACACGGGTCTGGATATCCCGACCTAAGTGAGGAAAAAAGTGGGCCACGGACAGCACGGTCCCATCACTGCAGCAGGGAACCATGAGGGTGTGAGACCCTGGTCTGCAGAAACACAGAGACAAGCCTGACAAGAACGTACAGTTGTCAGGGGCGCCTGGGCGGCCCCGTCGGTTAAGTATCGGACTCCTGACCTCAGCTCAGGTCTTGATCTCAGGGTCGTGAGTTCAAGCCCCGTGTTGGGCTCTCTGCCGGGCATGCAGCCCACTTAAAAAATGCACAGTAGTCTCCCCTGGTCCGAGGTTTCCGCTGCCCACAGTCAGTCGAGGTCTGGAGGCAGGTGATCTCCCTTCTGACCCGTGGTCAGAGGTCAGAGGTGGCCTCATGCTTTGTCCCACACCCAAGTCATTCCACGCACTCCATTTCCGCACGGGGGCATGTCCCCACCCCGGCACCGAGGGGAGGGGGACAACAAGGACCACGTTCGCGTAACTTCTATCACGGTATGTGGTTGTCGATGTTCCATTATTATTGTTAATCTCTTTCTGTACCTAATCTATAAACTAAGCTTCCTCACAAGTACAACGTCTAGGAAAACCCAGCACAAGGGACTCAGTTCTGTCCATGGCTCAGGCATCCACCGGGGATCTTGGAACGGATCCCCCAAGGTTAAGGGGGACTCACTGTAATTGCCTCTAAGGGGATGAACTGGTCTTGGTGGGATTCGGTGACCATACACCAATCTGTTTTATTACTTTACTATTTTTGCATGGATATATCATTTTAATAATAAAATGTTTTTAAAAAGCAAGCCACACACACACGCACACACACACACACGTTCCAGGTCCTGAAGGGTTTTGTTTCCTTGAAGGAGGAGAGGTGCTGCAGGTAATCCCCGCGGGTGATCTGGCCGGCTGCCTGGACGCGGCACCCCCGGCCCACGATCGCGCTAAGAACGGGGCAGATGGCGACCTCACAGCGGCCCAAAGCCACCGGGACCCCCGAGGCCCCACTGCGGGGGCACCGGATCGGCCTGGGCATCCAGCAGGCGCTCGAGATGCTGCTGGGGGGTTGCTGATCGCCAGTCGTGTCTGCCATGGGCCCCGGGAGGCGTGATGGAGAGGCAGCAAGCACGGAGGGACACCTCTGACGTCCCGTTAAGGATGCTTCACGGAAGGGCTGGAGCGAATGACAATGGGGGGCGACTATACTGAGGTCCATCAGAATACACGCTGCTCGGAGCAGGCTCCTCGAGGGCACCCAGGGTGTCCCCCCATCGGTGACAGGGCAGGGGGCGGCCGTCAGTCACAACGGGGGAAGAGAACGCTACAGAAAGGCACAGGGGAAGGACAGCAGTGCCCTCTGCTCTGATCGCGCCCCCCCCCCCCACCGACCGACCCACCAGGCACGCCCTCCCCTACCCGTTTCCCGTCTCCTGCAGCACCTCCGCCCTGGGGGCGTGCTGGTGACTCCTGAGGAATGCAGGATCTCAGGCTGTGCCCAGACCCCCGAACCAGCAGCTCTGGGGTGGGGCCCCGCCTTTGGCATGTTACCACCCCCGGTGTGGGTGACACCGGAAGATGGCCTGGAAAGCCCTAAGGAGCTCTAAGCCCAGGCGGCACCCCAGACAAGGAACCCAGCATCTCTGGGGGGCTGGGCTCCATGTGCCTTAGAGCCCCAGTGATTCCTGTGCACAGACTGGGGACTGGAGACTGGGGACTGGAGACTGGGGACTGGGGACTGGGAACCGGGCTGTGGGCACTCCCCCGACGCCGCCACCCCTTCAGCTGTGGGCCCACATACAGGAACCCCTCTCAGAACTCAAGCTCTGTGTGCCCCCCCACCCATGTTTTGCAGGAAAGGCCGTGTCCCCATCCGCTGGGCAGCTGTCCCCACAGAGCTGCCCCCCGGGGGAGGAGACGCCACATGGTCTCTCGTGGACTTGCCTCGGTAACCTGTGCCCAGCCGGGACCCGAGGAGGGAGTGGGGCCCCTCTCTGCTACCGCCCGCATGGCCTGGGCGTCTCAGGGCTGTGACAATGACCAGAGTCCACCTGGGGCTAGCCACCGGCAGCCACCGAGGCCACTTCACACTCCAGTTGGGGGGGGGGGCCTCAGGGCGTCTGGGACACGGACCCAGCTCTCATCTGTGGGCTTTGCTATCGAAGACAGAGGCCCATGCCCTCTTTTTTCCCCAATCTAAGCCCGTTGAGAAAATGCAGGAAGCATAGCCCCATCCCACAGCCTGGAAGGGAGGCTCATCCTCGTCCCTATTTGCAGGGACAGAGGACGCTGTCACCCCTGCCCCCGATGGGTGATCCTGGGCACCAAGAGGCCCATGCAGCTCAGAGTCTCACTCAGGCACATCCACTCCCCCAAAAGGCCTCAGGGTGGGAGGGGCTGGGAGGGTGACAGTGGCCTGCACCAGGCCCCACACAGGTGGAGGGCACCGTGCAGTGCTCCATCCTGTCCTTCCACAGGGAACCCAGCCCAGAGAGGGGAAGCACCTTCCCCGGACTGCTCAGTAGCAATAGGCCTGAGCAGGACCAGGGTCAGCAGCCCCCCTGAGCCGGCCCCAATACTCGGCGCTGTCGTCAACTGAGTCCTTGGACCTTCACCGCGGGCCGGGGCCGTCACTCCTGGTTGAGACTGAAACCTGCCCTAAGTGGAGCTCGTCAGGTGTGCGGACTCTGAGCTCTGCCCACAACATGACCTCGACCCCCCGTTTCCGTGGGATTTGTCAAAAAACTATCCTGTGTCCCACGTCTTCAGTCCCAAGGATGTTCTCCTGGTCGCTGGACTTAAAAGTCACTTCTGCAGGAGACCTGGAGGCCGAGAACGGACCTGCAGCCAGACGGGAGCTGCCGCGAGGACACCGGATCCTCGGCCACGCGGTCGCCCAGCCCTGGAACGGGCTCTCGTCCACGGAAGTCAACAAACCACACCACACACAACGGGACGGTGGGAAATGCACCCAAATGCCAGGCTGTCCGGACGCTGTAGCTGACCAGAGGCGATGACGCCGTCCTCCTCCTACGTTCTGTGTTCTATGCGAGCAATGTCACATTTAGGATGGAAAAAATAACTATTACACCTAATTTCATTTTAAACCCCCAGGGGAGTCGTCAAAAACGCTGGTCCTGTTTGTTTCCATGCCCGGACGCGTCTGGGGGAGGACAGGGAAGCGCATTGTGGGACCTTGGTCCTCAGGGAGCGGCTGCATCTTTCTCTGGGCTTCTCAGAATGGATTTCCTCTCCCTCTAAAACCTCAGACGTTGGGAGCCACGGATATTCTGCCAATAAACCCCAGCTATGGTTTTTGTTCTTCTGCTGTGGATCAAAGGTCACGGAAAGCCAGAGCCAAACGAACTAAAACTTTAATTAGTGACAAGGCTGGGCAGCCTGAGACTTAACGGAGCCAGGAGCTTTCCTGACCCTGGCTGGGAACACAGAATCATCCAGAAAGACGCCGGGGCTGTCCTCCCAGACGCCTCCAGCCTGGGTAAGTGTGGCTTCTAAAGCCGTCCCCAGGACGCCCGCCTACCTACCCCTGCAGCTCCGGGCAACCGGGCCCTGAGCCCCTTCTCCCAGCTCTGAGCCCACGCCCTGCACCAACACCAAAGTCCCCGCGAAAGCCAACATGGTGCCCGCCAACAGCCAACCCAGGGCCTGCTGCTCAGTGCCCAGCAGCCCTGTGAACCCCAACTCAGGAAGGGCTGCATCTCACACCAGCTGTTGGCCCACGGCACAAGTGTCCTATGGGCCCCTTGCCGGGCCCCAGCCGGTCCCCGCGCTTGGGGCTGTCTCCTGGGGCCCATGGACAACCAGGGCAGCTTCCTCCCTCCCCAACATGCCCGCGGCGCCGGGAGCACGGCCGTGGCGACATCAGACCTTTGTGTCGCCGGCAGAACGGTGCACCTTCTTTACCCACGGCTACGCCATGTGAAACACCAGCACATGGAACAAAGGGCACTCTGCTCTGTCGGAGGAACGGCTGTCGGGCCCAGAACCCCGTCAGACCAACCGCTGCCCGGCCCCCACGCCCCAGGAACCTCCGAGGAGCCCCCGGGTTCCACGGGGCACAGTTCGAGAAACACCCGTGCCTCATCCTGAGGACCGGCCCCGCCGCCCGGCCCCGCCCACCGCGCCTCCTACCTGGAGGCCGCGATCTCCGCCTTCTGCTTGGCAATGGTGGCGGCCCGCTCGGCAGCCTCCACCGCGCGGTCCACCTTCTCGCGGATCTTGCTGGCGCGCAGCGGGATGAGGTTCTTGCGCTTGCCGCTGACGAGGACGTTCTGCTTGTACTTGCCCTCCTCCTTGGTGCCGTCAGGGAAGGTCATACAGCCGTAGCCATGCCGCCGGTTGCCGGCCCACTCGCCCTCGTACTTGAGCCCGTCCGAGCGCTGGCTGACGCCGAAGCCCGCGCGCTTGTCGCTCTTCCACTCGCCCGCGTAGGTCTCGGTGGCGGTGGCGTCGATGTCGTCCTCGATGACCGCCAGCTCGGCCTCGCCCTCGCCCAGGCTGATGGTGGAGTGGATGTCGCTGGCCGTGGAGCTGACCGTGCTCATGCCGGCCTCGCTGCGGAACGAGCTCTGCTTGCTGCGCTGGCTGGCCAGGCTGCTCTTGGACTCGGACTTGCGCAGCTTCAGCCCGCTCAGCAGCGAGCGCCGGAACAGCCCCTTCTTCTTGCTCTTGAGGATGTCGGAGTCGCTGTGGGCCACGAGCACAAAGCCCCCGCGGGACACGGCCGGGCTGCCGGCCACCGCCGGGGAGGCGTCGGGGTGGAGTGCGGCACCGTTGGAGTGCTCGCTGCGCAGAGAGTTGATGGACGTCCTCAGGGGCGAGCGGATGACCGCCGCCATGCCGTAGGGGACACTCTGCCTCACACCGTAGCCTTGGCGCATGCCACCGACCCACTGGCCCTGGTAGGTCCCTGCGGAGACAAAAGGAGAGAGGGGTGAGCGCGGGGGGCGGCGGGACACGGTGGACCCAGCCTCCGTGGTTCTGTCTCGGAACAACGTGGTTATATCCCCAGTGGTCTCTGGTGAAGACACTTCCGCCCTGCTGCCCACGGTTGCCTCTCATTCTCTTAGAGGCTGGGGAGGGGAAAGGGAGGTGTCAGAGTCTGACGCAGAGTCAGGAGTGAACTGGAGAGCTCCCCCTGCACGTGGAGGGGGAGGAGGCACATGCTGCTGGGGGGCCCCCGACAGTCGTGGGGCCCGGGAGTCCAGCCACGGGGACACAGACCCGGGCTACAAACTGGGTGTGAGGACGCTGCCCCGGGCGTAAGTTCCCAGTTGCTGGAGGCATCCAAGAAGGGTTTGGAAGAGCAGTAAGTGGGGACATCTTAAGCACTTGGGGACATGAAGGCATTGCAACCAGCAGACCGGACATCCCCGGATGAATGAAAAGCAGAAACTCAAAGAGATATCTGCACACCCACGTTCACAGCAGCATCATTCAGAACAGCCAACAGGTGGAAACAACCCAGGCGTCTGTCGATGGACGAATGCATAAACAAAAGGGGGACCGTCCATACAATGGAATATTATTCAGTCATAAAACGGACACCCGCTACATGGATGCGCCTGGAGGACTGGGTGAAAGAAGCCGGTCTCAGGAGGACGGACACCATGTGAGAACCCTGACATGAGGCCCCTCCCAACAGTCAAGTTCAGAGACAGGAGAAGGGCAGGTGCCAGGGGCCGGGGGAGGGGGAAACGGGGAGTTGTTCTCTAATGGGGTCGGTTCATTTGGGGTGACGGAGAAGTTTTGAAGGTAGATAGAGGTAATGGTTGCATGACACTGTGACTATCATGCCAGTGAACTGCGTGAAGAGTGGTTAAAACAGCAAATTCTACAATATATAGAATACCTTCCCACAACAGAATAAAAAGGAAAAATAATAAAACCAGGCTCATATCCTTGCTCTACTGACTTGTTGTGTGATGGGAACCTCTCTGACCCTCAGTCTCCTCGTCTGTAGGAGTCTGAAAGCCCTCATGCCCTAACTCACTGGGAGAGGAAAACGGCCCTCGGTGTGGAGTCCATCCCGTGTTCCTAGACTTATTGCCAGGCCTCAGCCGGACTCCACTGAGGGGCTCCCCGCCCTGGAAGGGCTTTTCAGGGAAAATGGGGTGAATCTGTCCCACCGCTCTTCCAACTCACTGCCACAGGGGCTGTAAACCAGAAACTCACCAATATACAAGTTTTATTCGTCCCACAGGGTTTTTATAAAAAATTAATTGCCAGCATTTCAAAATCAAGATGTTTCACATAAAAGTTCAGCTCTTCTTTCTCCTAAAGAATGATAGGATCTGGCAACCCTAGATCTTTGTGTTCAGATGGCAAAATGGAGTGGAGGGCAGCAGCACGCTCCTTGAGATGGGGTGCCCCTCCAGTTTGCCCCACTCCCCACTATGCCCTACTGTCTCCCACCCAGGCCCTCTCCCTCACGTGCTCGCCACACACCAGAGGTAAGACGCAAAGCAAGTGTGGAATCCAAAGCCTTGCCGTGTGGCCCCCAGGGACTTCAGTCAGGGATGTGTCACCCCTGTCCCTGTCACCCACAACCCCAAGTCAGAACAAGTCCTGACCTCTCATGGGCTTGCCTGAGACGTGTCCACGCAGCCTGCCCTTACTCAATCCCCACCCCTGCCATTCGAATCCCACCCAATCCAACCCAGCTGGCACCCCCTCCTCAGTAATGCCTCGGGCTACCCCGGCCCGTGGAGCTGACCGCATGCCCACACAGGACCCGCGGCATCCAGGTCAACACCCAGCATTCCCCAGCAGACTCCGGGGGATGCCCGGCTTTGCCGGACACGTCTCCCTGCTCAACCAGGTTGCAAGCTCCCCAGAGGGGGAGGGCCTTGTGTCCTGACACCTTATTCTCCTCATGACTGGCACCTGGCCTCGGTGGGGAGAGAGGTGGCCGGGGCGAGGCGCCAGGACAAAGGACCTGGGAACCCTACGCTCCAGCAGACAGCAGCCTATCCGTTGAAAGTGACCCACAGGCAGGTGCGTCCTAGAAGCAGAGCCTGAGACCAATGCCCTCCTGAAGGTGTCGCTGAGGGAGGGCGGGGCGGAGCCAACAAGCCAGTGGTGGTCTCAGCCACATGCGCCTCTCAGTGCCACCCTGTGGGATTCATCCCACCCCGAGATGAGGGCTTTTGCACCCCCGCACAGTGCTCAGTCATTTGGCAACCCCAAAGCTGGGTGGGGGTGTGCCCTGCGGAGGGGAGGCAGTCCTGAGCCCACTGCCCCAAGTGGAGGGGCAGACGGGGAGCAGCAGGGGTGCTCCCCACCCCCTCTCCCCTCCGCCCACCCCTGCCCGACCACGAGCTCTTCCTGCGTCAGGCTGCCTGTGTCAGGCAGTGGGCACCTTCCCCCTGGGGGGGCACCCATCTGCCCCACAGCGTCCACTGCACCACTCCCCAGAGTCAACCTGGCTATAAGCAAGGGCAGTCATGGGGGCGGGACAAAGGTTGTGGCTGATTCTGTGCCAAACTGCATGCCCACCCTGGGACAGAGACCCCATGGCTGGCACCAACCGGGGTTGTGAGTGGGAACCCGGGACCGGGTGCAGTGGGAGTGCGGAGGCCTGGGGGTAGCAGGCCCGTTCAGGCAGGCAGACCTGCTGCCCACACAGCAGCCCTCCTGTCCCAGTTCAGGCTGCGAGTGGACTGCCATCGCAGGGACTCTCTCCCGGAAACCCAGGGTGCCCCTTCTACTTGTGGCTTAGGGACAGGGCTATCAGATACAGCACAGGAGGCTGAGTTAAAGCTGAGTCTCACAGGAACAATGAGTAATTTGGGGGAATGAACTGCCTGGGACATACTTATACAAGAAGTACCTTCGGTGATGATCTGAAATTTGAGTTTAGCTGGGTCTCCCATAGGTTTATTTGCTGAATCTGGCCAGCCAGCTGGGACCTTCCATGGTGACACCCCGGGTTTTGCGATGGAAGGCCCCCCAAAGTGCAGGACCTCCCGTGAGGGAAGGGAGGCTCAGCCCCTGCCCCCTCCTTCCCCTCAGAGGCGGCCGAGGCTGTCACTGATATGCAAGATGGGGTCCATGCACGCAGCAGAGTGTCACTCAGCCTTAAAACTCAGGACGTTCTCACACCTGCTACAGCACGGATGGGCCTGGAGAACACGACGCTCCGTGAAATCAGCCCGTCCCAACAGCACAAACACTGAACGTTTCCACTCACACGAGGGCCCTGGAGGAGCCAGATCCATGGAGCCGGGAAGCAGATGGGGGGCACAGGGGGCCAGGGACAGGGCTGGGGAGCAGGTGTGCCCTGGGGATGGAGCTCCAGGTCGGGCAGAGGATGACAAAGCTCTGAAGGTGGATGGTATGATGGTTGCACAATACGAACGCACTTAACACCACTAAACTGTACACTTCAAAATGGTCAAGATGGTAGATTTTATGTCTATTTAACTTAAAAAATGTAAACAGTGAAGGCACTCCCAGGAGCTTCACGCATAGCCTGGTGGAGGCTGTGACGGGCAGGGCCTCGGGGAGGCGTCGGGAGTGGGGCAGACCTGGGTTCGAGTCCTGACCCCACGCTCCGGATCTGTGACCTTGGGAAAGTCTGCTTTAACCTCAGCGTCCTTGTCTGTAAGATGGGGAAGGCGGCCGTGCAGAGCATGGAAAGGCATCAACACTCACTCACCCTAACTCTTCCTCACCCAAACCCTAGGGAGCCGGTAACACCTCCCTTTGCAGGTGAGGGAACGGAGGCCCTCCCAGGGCAGGTCCTGAACCCCGGGCTCACCGCCCTTCCCCCTCTCCCTAAGCCCTGGAGCAGGTGCACCGCAGGTCAGGCAGCCCGAGTGACAACCACGCCCCCTGCTAGGTCCATAAGTAGCACACACGCACATCAAGAGCTGGGAGCGGCTGGAGCCTGCGGTTTGCTTGTATGTGCATGTTTGCCCCCAGTGGGAACTCATCGGTGAGGCTGTGGCCGGCGTCGGTAAGAAACTGGATCCGACATCGCGGGAACGGCAGACCAGCTCTGCTAGGACCCGCCTGGAAGTGCCGTCTTCATTGCCTGCTGCAAAGGGCAGGCAGGAACCAAGAGAACGGACCCCAGACAGGCCTTGGGGAGGCGGCTTCTCCCAGAGGGAGGCTCCCAACCTCTGCCCCCTGCCCTCCCTCCCAACCTCCTCCCTGCGCCAGTCCTTCGCCTCTCCTTCCTTGCTGGGGCTGGTGGGGTGGGGGGACAAGGGTTCAATTCAAGCCCCCTGATTCCCAATGGTGTTTGAATCCAACTGGTTATTCACAGAACATTAAATCCAGTGTTTTGTTGTTTCATTTGACACCCCAAGCAGCCTGTGTGTGAAAAGGCAGAGGCCAGCATGCCCAGTTTGAGGGGAAGGCCAAGCGGGCCTGGCAGGTGCTGTCCCGCAGATGCTGGGAGGGCCCCCAGAGCAGGGTAGCTTCCTGTGTGCCCTTTCACCCTGACCTCGGGCCGCCCCTCACACAAGACACCCAGATGCAGACAGATCACTCGGGGCATCCCTGCTTCCCTCCGGGTAAGCTCAGGAAGGCAGGTGACCCTCCCAGGGATTCTGCCACCCCCTCACCTGCCCATCACAACAAAGATAATGGACCAACCCCTCCATCCCGTCACCTGGAACTTGGAATCAGGAGATCTAAGGGGATCGCAGGTGAGCGAGCCAACTTCCCTGAACCTCGCTCATGAAATGCCATCCAGAGCCAGCGAGACTCACACGCAGGGAAGAGCAAACCAGACAAGACCAGTGAGGGGGGCTCACGCTTGAGCAGCATCGACGTCCCCCACATGGGGCATGCCAACCCCCCCCGACCTTCTGACTCAGGTGGTGCAGCCTGAGCTGCATTCCAAACAAGCTCCCCGGGGAGACGGACAGCACGCTTGGGACCCCACGGAGGTTCAACATC